ACCATGAACATCAGTCGTTTTCCAACATCCACGTTTTATTTTTATGTAGAGTGACAGAGGAATAAAAAGGGAATGGGGGGAATGATCTCGGCTGAACAACAACAAATTCATCCATGTCTCTTTCCATGGTTTTTCTTGGCATATATTTCCAATACCACCAAGACAGTAAAAACTCTTTAATTTAAACTCATTTCAGATTTAGTTCTAATTCAGATGTATTTCTTGACTCTCAAGTTAAGGGTTTTAAAACATAACCAAAAAAGCAAATATTCAAAATGAAAGTATTATATGATCCCAAGATGCCAATATTAAGATACATATTTTTCTTGTACCTACTTGATTGATTTGTAATTTTGAGGTAAATGAAAGGGATAACTGTTTGCGGGCAAGTATTTTGTAAATCAAAATTTTTATTAGCTGAAGACTGATCAGTCACAGTTCAACAGGGAAAGATTTGGGATCATGTATCCTGACCCAGAACTCTTGCCCAGGCTGAATACACAGCTCTTCCACATCTTTTTGAGGAAGCTTGTAATACTATAACCTCAACAGTTCTTGAACCAATCTGATATGTCACTAAGGAGCTCTACTGTATGTGTTTCACCTGCTATCTGTTTTTGGGCAAACCGTCAAAACTGGGTACTTTTGTAAAATTGTAAAGATCACTTTATATGCAATAAAAAAAGGTGATGAGGCAGATGAAAAAACTAGCAAAAACTTGACAGCTGAAAAACACATAGGCCTTAACACTAGACTTTTATTTTTACATGTCAGAACACTTCTATATAAAAAAAGACAAATTAAAAAGCCCGCATTCTAATGTTGGGTGAATGGGTATTTGTGGACTGGGATAAAACTTCCAATGGCAGCATTACACAGATGATTCTCAAGCAACAGAGATGCACGGAAAGATAACAAGCAGTCACCGCATAATTCCAGTTATGACAAAACAGTGATACTGAAGATGCATATGAAGGGACTGAATAAAATTATTTAATAAAATGTGTAAAAAAATCCTAACACAGTATTTTAAAAAATTTGATTTTCAGTATTTGATTTCTTTAATAACCTTTTAAGTGGTCAAGCGTCTTTGGATGTTCCCATCAGATGAAGTGGCAAATTGTAAAGACTCATGGGGGCCTAATATTAGGTTGACATGGTAGTTTTCAACATTAAAAAACAAAACAAGACAAACAGAAAACCCCAAGGTGATTTCAAAATCCAGATTTTGGTCTTTTCTGAAAATAAGAGCTGGTGAAAATGGGCTAGCATTACCTCCTAACAGTTAGCTCAAGCTAAGTAATGGTTATCTCTTACTCTAGATGAGGTCTTCAATTTACACTAGCCCTCCACCACTCCATTTTATCTTCTTGACACTAAAACTAAACCTAAGCGTCAAATGCCATCATGCTTTTGTCTTTCCTACGCCTGTGTTACTTCTCTCATTACCTGCTTGCCTGCCTCTGTGTATCAGACTTTTAGTCTTACTGTAAAATCTAGCCTTTTTACAAATTCTTACCCATTTCATCCAATTTCTCCATGTCCCTGATAATCTGTTTGGGATCCTTCATCTTCAAAACCGCGGCTCGTACCATCATGCGCTGCTTTTTGTTCTTAGACAAAGAACAGAGCAGTATGTCAAGGAACTGGACGTTAGTGAGTTTTTTTTTGTTTGCTTCAAGAATCTATATTTAAACTGAAGTCAAACTTCTCTTTGATTTCTGATCATGTTTCAAACGCCCTAACCAGACCTATATGATGTTTTGCTCTCAAAAATGTTTCAACTTTAGACAAAAAGATAAACATTAATTGCCAGGTGTGCTTTCTTAGTTAGGCAAGTATTCTTTTAACCTTATGATATCTTTAACAGCTACTTAAGATATTTTAAAGGTTGAAGTTAAAAATTACACATTAGCGAAGTTTTGCTTGGGTTTAATGCTAAACGAAGACACAGGAACACAATTAAAAACTATAAAAAAACTGAGTTTCCTCAATGTATTGAGGTATGATACTACAAAGTAAATCCTTTCTTATTCTGGAGAAGCACTTTGCCAAACTCAACAGCTGCATAATCAGGAAATGAACACAAAGCTACTTAGCATCACATTTATTTATTCATTAACTCAGTAGCTTTTAACTAGGTAGTATATTTTAATAAACAGCAAAAGAATTATTTTCAGTATTAAACCTAGTAGGAAAGGTAATCCAATAAACGATGTTACAATAACCTATCATGAGCTTATCTGCAGTTATTTCAGTTCAGTTTCCAAGTATAGCATTTTGGATTAGTAAATTTTATGGTTTGTAATAAGAAGCAAAGAATGTTATTTGAAAGCCACAAATGCAGATGTACTAAACACCTGGAATCATACCTTCTTTAATTCTCTCTTCCGAGCTTCTTTTCCTTCAGAGAGAGAGAGAGAGAGAGAAAATGTAAGTTTCAAGTCTTGAACATAAGCATTTCCTCCTATTTCAGGAGGCCGGCCTGTGCACTGTAGGACAGTAAGCCATATCCCTGGTCTCCACCCATTAATTGCCAATAGCACCCTTCTAATTATGTCAATCAAAAATGTCTCAGGAAATTTTTAAGTTTTAAAAAAATAAGTATGAATTGGAAGGAAAAAGATGCTGTAAAATACTAATGAAGAACTTGCAGAACTGACTTCAAAATTCCAAATACAAAAAGAAAGTTTTAAGCCGATTCTACTTTGCAAGTGAATCAATTTAGAAAAACAGGCACTAATTTTTTTTGCATGTTTAAAGTTTCAATGATGTGCCCACAAGAAAACTGTGTACCTTTATACATCTGACTCCCAGAACTGCTTATCTTGAAATTAAGACAAAATGAAACAGACTCCTTCTAAATACTTGCAATTTTTACCACTCTTCTTCATCATTCCACATTAATGGGCACTTACGGGCTTGGTCTGTGGGGTTCATAAATTTCCCACTCTTGGTGGATGATGTAGATCTCCGTCCCATGGTGATGACTTGTATGGTTTACTTGTTCATTAAAAAACAAAACAAAATTCTGCGAAAAGACAGAAATAGCTTATTTTGCCTATATTTACAAAACTTCTGCCTTTTTGTACATATAAAATTTCTTTCTACTTATTTCTAAAAAAAAACCATTCCTCTGATTACTGTTTTAATGGACCATAGCATGGATTCTGTCAACTGAAAAAAATCAATCAAAAAATGATTCAACAATATGGCAGAAACCATGAACATCAGTCGTTTTCCAACATCCACGTTTTATTTTTATGTAGAGTGACAGAGGAATAAAAAGGGAATGGGGGGAATGATCTCGGCTGAACAACAACAAATTCATCCATGTCTCTTTCCATGGTTTTTCTTGGCATATATTTCCAATACCACCAAGACAGTAAAAACTCTTTAATTTAAACTCATTTCAGATTTAGTTCTAATTCAGATGTATTTCTTGACTCTCAAGTTAAGGGTTTTAAAACATAACCAAAAAAGCAAATATTCAAAATGAAAGTATTATATGATCCCAAGATGCCAATATTAAGATACATATTTTTCTTGTACCTACTTGATTGATTTGTAATTTTGAGGTAAATGAAAGGGATAACTGTTTGCGGGCAAGTATTTTGTAAATCAAAATTTTTATTAGCTGAAGACATTGTCACTTTTTTCTTATTCCAAAGGAGTGAGGTTTAACTCTTTGATACTCTTCCCGATAATGATGATCAAAAATGTGCTTCCTTTTGAAAGCAGACACTTTTAAAAGAATAAGGGAAAATCATGAAGTACATTTTTTTAGTAGCCTATACAGTTGTACCTTCCCTTGTTCCCTTTATTAAGATTTTTGTCAGAATTTATTAGATAATGCCTCTTTCAGCAAGTTTTCAAGTGGCTTTATTTCTGCTAAATGCTTCAAAGCTGTTCCAGTGGCAACTAATCTGCCCTGTCAAGGAAGGGTTTCCTTCTCTAAGTGGAGGAGGCTGAAACAAAATTAGTACAAATACAGGCTTTCTTATCTTTGATGGCCTGTATTTCTTTTGCTTTCCCCCCTCAATAATCCTCAGGCAGACGTTCTGACCTCCCCTCTCACAAGTGAAACACAGAAAAGATGTAAATTACAGAAAATTTTTATGTTAAACACTGGAGCCTCAGTCTGCATAAAACACTTATTTTGTCTAAAGGCAGAGGCAATAGGGAAATCGGGTCACAAAACCGCGGGGGAAGTCAAAACAGCCAGAGAGGCCCCAAGGGGACGAGCCCAGGTCCGCCGGGGGAGGCCAGGGCAGCAGCCAACGGCGGGCACCATGGCGACGGCTGACCCCGACTCGACACACATCACCCCGAGCCTAGGGACCCCAGGCGGGAGGCGGCGCTAACCGACCCGGGCGAAGTCTCTGAGCCGCTGGAAGCCTCGTCGCTCCAGGCTCGGGGACCCCACAGTCCGACCCAGGAGACCCCCAACCGCGGGGAGGAAGCGCGGGGCAGAATGGCCTGGTGACCCCGAGGCAACAGCGCAGGCTTCGGGTAGCGCCGGGAAAGGTGAGGAAACCGAGTGGCATGATCCCGCACACTCACACTTCTGCTGGGCTCCTGGGGCTGCGAGAAGCGGTGAGAAGATGATTCGTGTTCTCTCTTACTTCGCGGGGCCTTCACATCAGCCTCCCGGTAAGCCACCCAGCCACCGCCATCTTGAAACCTCGCGCCCCTCCGCAATCCTACGTCACTTCCTGTCCCCGAGGGCCGACCGTCTCCGCCGATCTCCGAGCTGGTACCATAGAGAGTGACCGAGAACGCCAGGACCAGAGTCTCTTCCGTTTCATCAGTACACTACCGAATGGGTGGGTTATCCGCCGAGAGCCCGCCAATGCCATGTTGACTGACACTGCTTTCTACCAATAGAAATAAGAAAAGTGAGAGGATCGGACATGTGGTTGGCTGATGAGAAGACAGCTCGGTTTCTCAGCCCCGAGACATTTTGACGTAAGTTCCTGGAGCTCTGTTTATTGCGCCGTCGGAGACTTGCTGGTTCTATAGACGGGGGTGTTTGGCGTTGTTTTGTCTCCTGGACTGTGTTTGGTTTTCGAATTTCCTTTTTCTCGTGATGTAAGCAAGTGTTATCTTTTGGTAGTGTCTGAGAAGCAGCGACGCTTGCTCTTGTGTTTGAAGCGCTTCGCTAGCGTCAGGTCCACCTGTAAGTTGTGTCGTTTTCGTAGGGACACAACATTTCTAGGCCTGAGCAAATACATACCCTTGTTAGAGTCTCAGATTGATAATCTGCGGGATTAGTTTATTTAAGAGGAAATGTGGGGATACATGTATAGTCAATTTTAAATTTACGAGAGGCCCGGTTGACATATTGACCCCTCTCCTTTACGGTCTTTTCACCAAAACTCCTTTATGATGTCACTGTAGATACGGTGTTATTGACTTAGTAGACGTCTACGTCCTTACTTTCTCTTCTGTCCACCCCTTTTCTAAGACTCCTTCCCTGTTTTCCCCTTAAAGGTAAGGAAATTCTTTTAAAAGGCATTGTGCTCGGTTATTTCTGATCATTAATATCCCTTTTGGGAAAATATGTTAGAGGCCAATTATTACTATCAATTATGAATATTACAAAATGATGGAGATACATAAAAATTTATAGCAGAATATATAAATATGCACTTAACTGTGTCAGATTGGACCCTTTCCTAAACTAACCTTTGTCAGAAAATTCTTCATTTGGTTTTAGTCTGAAAGAGCAATAACAAGATCTTGTAGTTTAAAGCTCATCAGTCAGGTCATAAAAAATAAGATTGAATTTTGAAGTTGAACTAATTTCTGTAACTTTTCTTCTGAAACATACTCATACGTTTATTGAAAAAAAAGAAAAAAACAGGAGGAGCATTAATATTGGGGGTGTTCCAACCACAGGAAAGAAAGAATTACGTGATGTTTTGGAAGTGCGAACTATTGCTAGTGGCAGTCATATATTACAATATATATATAGTTATATATATAATGTATCAAATCAACACGTGGTATAGCACCTTAAACTTATGTAATGTTATATGTCAAATTTATTCTAATAAAAATAATTCAGTGGGGGAAGAATGTATTATCCAATATATTAATTTTTTAGCTGTCCCCGTAAGAAAAAGAAAACATAAGTAGATTATACCATAAGTGAAATAAACAGCAGATGAATTAAAGACAGACAAGACGTGAAGCACAGGGAGTGATTTTTTTTTTAAGTTTTAAAATTAGCATATTGTAAAATCGTCCTTTTTTGAAAAGGAAATTTTGTTTTTCTGAAAACATCCATAGTTCTATTCATTTTCACATGTATACAGGGTCATACAACCACCACCACTGCAGTGAAGATGAGGAACTATCCACCATCCCAGAATACTCCTACTGCCACACCCTCTCCCCACCACTAACTCCTGACAACCGCTGATCTCTTACCCATCACTACAGTTCTGTCCCTTACTGCCAGTAACTGGAAATAGTATATAGTCTTTTGAGACTATCTTCTTTCACTTAGCATAATGCCTTTGAGATTCATCTGTGTGGTTGCCTGTACCAGTATTTCATTCCACATTATTGCTGAGTAGTAGTCTGCTGTATGGATTCTATGTACCACTTCTTGTTTATCCACTCATTCTTCTACAGTAAATGCCCAGAAGTGGTGTTGCTGAGTCATATGGTAGCAATATGTTTAACTTTGTAGGAAACTGTCAATTATTTTCCAAAACAGCCATACTGTTTTGCATTTTCATCAGCATTGTATGAGAGTTCCAATTGCTTTGCATCCTTGCCGGCAGATATATCAGTACTTTTATCCATTTTAATAGGGGTGTAGTGAATCTCATGATGGTTTTTAATTGCATTTCTTTAATGGCTAATGATGTTGAACATATTTTCATGTGCTTATTTTCCATCCAAAAGTCTTGGTTAAGCGTTAAAATATTTTGCTCTATTTATTTATTGATACACAGTTTTATATTACAACACAGTGGTTCAGCAGTTACCCATATTATTAAATCCTTATCCCCACTAGTACAACTACTAGCTGTCAACATAGGAAGATGTTACAGAATCATTGGCTGTATTCTTCATGCTGTACTACTATCCCCATGACAAACATTATGATTGAGAATTTTTGTGCCCCTTTATCCCTCTCCCCCTCCCCCATGGTAACCACCAGTCCCTTCTCAGTGTCTGAGTCTACTGGTGTTTTGTTCATTCTATTTTCTTTATATTTATATTCCACAAATAAGTGAAGTCCTATGGTATTTTTCTTGGTCTGGCTTATTTCACTGAGCTTTAATACCGTCTAGAGCCATCCATGTTGTAGATGGCAGGATTTCTTTTCTTTTTGTGGCGTAATAATATTCCATTGCGTATATGTACCACATCTTTATCCATTCTTCTATTGATGGACACTTTGGTTGCTACTATATTTTGGCTATTGCCAATGCAGCAGTAAACATAGGGGTGCATATACCTTTTCAGATAAGGGATTTTGTTTTTTTCAGGTAAATTCTAGAAGTGGCATTGCTGGGTGGAATGATGTTTCTATTTTTGGCTTTTTGAGGAACCTCCATACTGCTTTCCATAGTGGCACTCTACAATGAATTTTAAAAAGCAGTGATGAGAAAATGAGTACATTTGAAAAATTAAAGTAATTCTAGCCTTTTAATTTTTGAGATGTGCTGAGCTTTTTAAATTTCAAGACATTTCTTGGATGTAAGAATCAACTGTAACAAACACATTCTTGCATCAACAGCTCATTAATTTGTAAGTAGAACCTAAAAGTCTCAATGGGTAATTAATAGCTGGTGAAGGATTTAGAAAATGCTTGCATCTACAGAAGTTCAACTGAACCATTAGGACTTCATAGCCTCTAGGTTTTTCTGAAATCAGGTAATTAATGAAATGGGGTCCTTCAAGTTTTAGTAGCAAGAGCAACTTCCTCTGTTCTGCTAGTACTGAAAAGGAAATTTTGTTTTTCTGAAAACTTCTAAGGTAATAAATTATGACTTGCCTTTAAATGACAAATTCTTAAAAGAATAGCAACTTTCCTCTCCTGCATTCCTATGCATGTATAGATGGGATTTGCTTATTTGTTTTTTAAGTGTTTCAGAATATTCAAACATTCAATTGAGGGATATATAGTCATCCCACCACAGTTGATCAGGTTGGTTGCAAATGTAGAAACAGGACCTCTATCTTTTTAGTTTTAACTTTCATCTTTTAAAAATCCATCCAGATTATAGTGTGTAATTAGTATACGTTTACACAACCATTGCCTCCTTTTGTTGTTGAAGTAAATTGTTATAAACCATATTCAGTCTCTTCCAGTTTATAGGAAATTGGATTTAAACTAATGTTCAAAATTATGGTAGTAGTTTTCTTTTCCACTCCAACGCCCAGGGCTCGTGTTTAGACAAAAGTTACTAAGTGTATTTCCTTAGAATTAAATGATGTCTGAAGCTAATGATAGAAATGAAAATCTCTACATTCAATGTAAATTTTAAAGATTTGGAGGATTAGAAAAGAAAGAGGTAACCTCTACATCTGCTCTTCTGCAATAGCATTTACCCTAATGTTCTGGTAGAGCAGTAAGAAGACATCTTGTGATACAAGCTTTTACCTCGCAGGTGCTAGCACCAATCTATGAGGCATTCGTTGTTGACACAAAACTCAAGAACTCAACTTCTTCCCAGGTTGTTTACTGTGTTTAAGTCCCTTTTGGAAGCTTATAGAAAAGAAACCCAATCAAAGAAGCAAAACACTATTATTGAGAAGCAGAATAATATTCCAGTGGCAAATAAAGTGGCTGTTTATTTCATTTGGTGTTTCACTGTGTTGGTGACCTCAGTAATGGCGTGATGGTACTTTTCCGAGGCTAACTTGAATTCCACCAGATGCTTCTCATAACTTGTAATGGCTGCTTGAAGCTGTGTTTTCTCCACTGCTCCCAGGATAGCTCGGAAAATCATATCTATGCCAAGGCCAAGAACAGCAACTCCTATGCTACCAAGGAGAGAAGCACCAATTTGCGCTAACACAGTGACCAACTTGTTAATTAGGCCAGTTGTGACATTTGAGCCCACAAGTTTAACGGCCACTGCACTGGCTGCAGAAGTAGCTTCTCCTAGGATGACTGAAATAACCTTTTGTACTATTGCTATTTTGTCTGTTTCCCTTTCTTTAATATCCTGAAGTTTTCTATAGAGGGTTGGCTCTAGTTTATCTTTCAGCGCTTCATCAACCTTTTGCAATTCCTTTTGGATTTTCATCATGGCTTGGATGATGATATCACAGTTTTCTTTGATGGTCCCATCTCTTTTCATCTCAATGGAGGCCAGCTTGCACCCCAAGTGCGTATTTAAAACCCCAGTCAGCTTATTGGTGGCATGGAAGCTGTCAGATAAGCAGTCAAGGAGCTGCTGGTGAAGGCGATTTACTTCTTGCCTCCTCTTTGGGTTGTCTGGGTAGAGGAAGTCACTCTGAGCCATACTTCAAATCTGATCTCTGGAAAATAAAATAGTAAATCTTCACTAAAAACTTTGAAAATTATATGCTGTCTTCATAGATTGGACAAGGAAATCTTTTATTTCGTAAATAGAAAAGTAGCCATATGCTAAGGAGTTCCTCAGAAAACTCAACAGGCTCTTCAGGACAATTATTTTTGTTAATTATTTTATTGATTATAGTTAATATAATTTTATTAATGTAAATACTAATTTATCAATTATTTCAGGTTAAATTTTAATTGCAAAAATTGTGAGTCTGTATGGAAATATGTGTAACAGAATGCAACATATTGATGCATTAATTAAGACATTAGGTATCGTGGGGGGGGAAATTCTAGATAGGAAGTATTTGTGTTTATCAACCACCTGATTATTGAGAAATAAAGCATGATATTTCCAAGTAATATTTAACAATGTTTTTAATAGGCACAGTTTGAAATAGTTAGCGCTTGATTACCAATGCTCCTTAATTTTCCCAGCTGCTACTCACCATATTGAACAGATATACTGGGATGATCTCTAGTATTTAGAGTTAAATTAGTAGGGCCCGAAGAATATTGACATCTCTTGAGTTTACAGGGCTATAAATACCTAATTTTGTTTATATACTTTTAATTTTCAATATTCAAATCTCTTTATATCTCTCTACATGCAAATTTATTCTCAGTAAATGTAAGGGACACCCAAAGGCAAAGCATAACATTAGAATCTTTACAAAAAATTCCTCATGATAAGAGTATTCAAGATTCCTTGGATTAAAATCTCACTTGGGGAGAAAGTGGGCATGGTGGCAATTATGACTATCTCTGATTCCCTGTTTGTATAGCTTATACATTATATAGCATGGTCTGTCTTGCACTTGACCCTTGTTCAGATTAGCTAGAGTTAGCCTCAGAAAGAAGATGCCATTTCACATTATCTTCTAGTAAATATTAAGGAATATGTACTAAAAGTACATTATAGAGTGAACAAAATAAGCCTGGTTGGAGTCCTCTTGTGTTTGTACTTCTGGTTCAGAGTATCACGCAGACAAAAAAAGAGAATAAGCATGTTCTGAGTTTATTTTGGTGAAAAAGTTTGAGCCCAGTAAGAACATTGTTACTCAATGTTCATACCTTGAGTAGGCTTTCTGTGTTCTTGCACTTTTATTTTTAGTTTACACTCTTGAGAGAAAAGAGAGAAAATGGAGATCTATTTCTCTGTGAGATCTGGTACATTGTCTCGAGTAAACATCCTTGTTAATTTGGGCCTTATTTATTCTAGGGCCATGGTTCTTAGCATAGATAGGGGAAACCTCAGAAGCATGGGTGAAGGAATGAAGATTGTTCTCAAGAAAGTAAATATGAAAATAACCTATCCTCTAAGTGTGAAGTTACAATTTGGAAATAGAAAGAGGAAATTTCTTAATGGAATAGGAACACAATCATTTATGCTGTTAAGTTTAGAAAAATGCACTGGCACCCCCAGTAGACTAAACCTTGTCATGGTTAGAAATTCATTTTTATCTTTGATTTAAATGCAGTACACACACACACACACACACACACATACATGTACTTGGGTGTGTGACAGACAACAAACTTCCACAGAACAGTACTTAGAAAATATCTCAATTCCACTTAAAGAAATTATTGGTCAAGGATCTGGTAAATGTTCCCCAAACTCAATTTGATTGAGTTTGCAAACTGCAATTTGATAACCATAAACTGAACTTTGATTTCCCTTTTTTTCTACTAGGAATTTTTCATTAAACATTTTTCTTTCTTTTCTTTTCTTTTCTTTTTTTGGTTCCTAGTTTTCAGATCTTATCATCAAGTGAAAATTCTGGTCTTTAACTGAATTCAGAAGATCACCAACTACATCTCTATTCAGATATTTAGGCGAGGGGAATCTCTGTTACCTTGAAAAAATGTAAAATACCTCTAGCAGCTATCATACCCCATTATCTGAAGGCATCCTTTCCAGAAAAGGTGTGTGGTTCTATTGACCTAAAGATAAACAAATGGAGCTATGAACCTTCCTCCTGGATGGGAGGCTGCATGCTGCCAAGTGGTCAGTTCCTTCTCAATTAATTCATTGTTTACACAATTTGATAATCATACACATCTGTAAGACTTAAATAGGTAACACTTTAAATTTTTTTAGAAGTAGTGATAAGACTGTTTCTTCCAATATTAAAATACCGTAACAATACAATATTAACCAGTGTTATACAGATATAGATGGAATTATGGAACAAAATAGTCCCCATACTCTTCTATACATTTGATTTAATGTATAATATAGAATCTCAAATCAATAGTAATCGAAGTTACTGTTTCATAAATAATCCTGGCATAATGAGCTAGTTTGGGAGATTAAAAGTTAATAAAAAAATGTTACCAGCATAATACATGTAAAAAAAATCAAATGCTAAAATAGAAGAGAATGGATAATTTTCAAATGTCTATGTGGAAGACTTTATAAACTTAAAGCCAATGGAAAAACGTCACACAAAAATTTGACTTAAAAAGGGTGACCATATAGCAAGAATTAAATGCAAATTGGGGAAAATGCAAGAAAAGTGAAGGATGGATTTCTAAAGACTTGTTATTAATAAGGAAAACAGTAGTAATCTAATAAATGAGCAAACAATTCTGAACAGATAGTAAAAGAACAACAGCAAATTAATTGATGAAAAAAAGTTCAATCATACCAGAAGTCAAAGACACAGTATTTTTTCAATTACAATATTTTCTTTATATACTCAAGCCCTTTACATGCACTTACCCTTCTTCCTAGTTTCCAGATATTAAACCATAATTTTGTGCCAATAACAAGTTTGAGTAGAGACATGATGTGCTCTGAACTACTTTTTACGTTTAATGAAAAAGGACTTTTTTTTTGTCTGAATCAGGCTTATCTTCCTAGCTCTTTTTTGCTTGGGAACGTTTCCTTCTGCAGACAGATTTTCAGCAAGCCTGCACCATACTTGCTTCTATATGGAATATAGTTCAATATTATTTCTATCCCAAGTGAGATAATGCTAAGAATTAGCTAGAGTTTGAAGGTGAAACCACTGAATTATTTCTGGGCTGGTGAAATTTGAAGAGCCTGGTGAAGGAGGCAATTTAATAATTCAGTGGCAATTCATCTAATGGAATAGTACCTTACTGTGTATAAGGTAGCACGGTGGGCTCTGTAGAGCCCACGGAAGTCGAAAAGACGTGATCCTTGTTTTGATGGAATTTCTAATGTACCTAGGTAGTTAATACATTTAAAACTCCATGTCAAATTGAAAATAGTATGTTATTCACAATAGAGGTGGTGCTTGACTGCAGACTTAAAATTTAAACAACCCACACTTTAGTATATATTGACACTGGAGCCATATGGAGACATTTGGTCATCCAGGGGAGGTTAACAATTTGTACCTTTTCAAATGATCACTCTTCAATATGTGCATGATATTGAGAGGAGAGGTTACACACCACGTGGAAAACCGTAGTTGGTCATATGCAACGTTCCCACTATTGTCTGCGACAGTTCTGGCTCCTGCAGTGTTTGCTTCACTCAGTGAAAAGCCCTGCAGCTAACTGAAGTCACCGTCCTTAAACATCATAGTTGTTACTTAACTATGCCTCTTACTACATTTTTAGGGATGACCTTGAAAATACTGCCTTTAAAATTCGATCTTTTAAAAATAATTTTAAAGGCACTTAGAATGTGACATTTAAAGATTGGCACCAGCTGGTAACTAAGTTGTGTAAATAACCCAGCTCTGATTACAGGTATCAATTGTATGGTAACTGAACTGCTGCATTACTTGTTACATTATGATAGTACTTCCTGTCAGGGTCAAATTCACTTTGGGAAGCTGCCAGCAGATGGAGCCCTTGGTCTCCTGCTGCGTATTCGGCCAGTGCTGAAGTGGCTGAGCTTTCTTGTGTTGCTCGCTATGTTTGGGTTGAGGATGTGTGGTATTTTATTTGATGAGAGCATTCTGTTGCTAAAACAAAGTTTGAAAATCATGTATTTTGACACTTTAAAATAAGCAAATTTGGAATGCTGATACCAGTGATCAGTATGTTTTAAGAAATGGGAATGGAAACAAAGACCAGCTTCAAATAAATTCTTACTGAACCTAACCTCCTCACTTTTGTTGAATTGAGAAGTAAACATTCATGATTAAAAAACATAAGAAATGGTAGAAGTATGTTGGTGATTGTGTCTGAAAGTTAAGGTTTATTTAGTGATACTATTAAATTTAAGTTTTTCAGGAAAGGAACCACCTTAAAAAATGAAAATGCATTGCTTATATTCAGATAAATTCTCAAGTTGCTTTTGTGAATAGCAATGCATTGATTGTCACATACTATAAAAATTTAAGGAGAGACATTTATATTGAGGTGATCAGAGGATGGTAGCATTTTAACATGTAAATTTTTACAGCAGGATAGTGAGTGTTTCAAAGTCAGAAATTTTGTGAAATATTGTTGATTTGGAGATCACAAAGTCAATTTTAAAAAGAACAGTTTTTGCCCTTGTGGAAATACATACTGAGTATGTTAATGATGGAAAGATTGGGTCTCTCAGATTTGTTTCCAAATAATCTGGAAGGAATAGTAGAGTAGGGTTATAGAGGAAATAAGTGTACCTTGTTTTGATAATATTTAAAGCTGGATTATGGGTACAGAGGAGTTTATTATATTATTGTCTCCACTTCTGTGTATATTTGAACTTTTCCATGATAATAATTAAAGACAGAAAAATAAAATATGACCCTGCCTAAGCCTCTGATATTTAGCCATTAGTGCTCTCTGAGATTTTATCTTTCTTCTTGCTCTCACTTTTCCGGTCTATCCATATTGGGTCCAGCTATCTTGCAGGGTTCACTTATTTGGGAGTGTGGGACTAAGGTATTGGTGAAATTGGAAGCTTTTCGGGAGAAATTAACAGCTACTAGCTAGTTCTGATCCTCCTTTTTAAATTTAAATCAAAAGCATGGCCTTTAATTAAACAACAAAACAAAACGAAGTCAGTCATGTTGTGATGACCCCTTTCGGATGTAAATTCTTCTAAAGAATATTTCTGGCTGGAAAGCAGAATATCAAGGTCCTTCATCAGCATTCATCACATGCTCTTTTTATCACATCCTCTACTAAATGTCTTGAGGCATTAAAAAAAAGTAGACAATGTTCCTTGCCCTCAAGAAGATAACTCTATTTAGAGATGCGCAGCAAATGCCCAATAATAGTTAGATTGCCCAACAATCTAACTATTGTTAAAGGCATAAAGGGGAATGTTACAATCCATGTAAGAAACACATTCACACAGGTGTCATTTCATCCTTAATCCTCTGCTAAAATTGCTGTCTACTGCTTTATCTTCCCTTCTGACTTAATCAGCTGTATAAACTTAATTTTCTTCTTTGGTGTCTTCAGAGAAGTTATAACAAGGAACATGCCATGGGATCCTCTTTAAACAAAGTTGTTTTGTTAATTTATTATATTTATGGCTAGAATTGCAGACATGTTATTTCAAATACCCTTTAATATGGAGAAACAGAATATTTTATCAGTACTGGTAGAAATATGCATATCGCTTACCTTGCTGTGTTCGTGAGTTCAGAAATCCCCACAGTTGTTCAGGAGTATTGTTGAAGTGCTTTTTCATCTGGTTTCATCTGGATGTTTCTGATGGAATGTGATGACTTACAGGCTTTGCTAGTCTCTGCTGGGTCCCTCTGCCTGTCTGGTTTGTAGAATATTTCTGCATGGCTTAGTTCTCAGAATTCCTGTATTTCCTATATTAATATAAAATTACTATATATTAAGTAATATAATTTGAAAGACTAATAAAGTGGTAAAACATGCAATTGTCTGTTCTTTAATGGGCTTTTTATTGTTGAAAAGTGCTTTACAAATGAGCTGATTGAATTCAGTAGATAAGATGGCTCTTTGATGGCAGCTCTGAGTTGGCAATTTCCATCTTAGCAGCTATTTCAGATATTTCAACTTCTGTTGCATTTATACCTCTACCTGTTGCTGATTGCTTTGTCTAGGTTCCAGAGATATAAAAACAGATATTTCAGTCAGACATGTTTTTGCATGTGTGTTCTTCTCTCCTGGCTATGAGCTTTTCTCTTTATCTCTGTCTTTCTTATTGTCTTGGTGAATTGTCTTGACAATATAAAAACCTTAAAGACCAACCTGACTCCTTTCTCTTAAAGCCTAGATCAGAGTCTTCTGTGCAGCTTCCTCTAGATTCTGTCCTAATCCCCACTGACTCCTCTATAGCAAAGATACCTCAGTAGCAGGAAAATTACTCAGTCCCAGGATAACTTAGTGGAAAGACCAGAGACTTTAGAATCAGACAGTGCTGACTTTGTATACCCAAAGTACCACTTACTAGCTATGTAACTCTGGAAAGTCACTTAACCTCTCTAATTGTTTTCACTGGTGTAATGTATTAGTTCATACATTATGTCTTGTCATAAGGATTAAATTAGATAATACATGTTAGGCACTTGGGATAGTGCCTGATGTATGGCAGAAACTTGCTAAATGGTAGCTATACTCCTTACATTAACAGCAGTAATTCCTGGTGTTTTGCAGTGGGTAGAGGATGCAGAACCAAGACCCAGCTAGGAGACTTGTAAATCTGAAGGTGCTGCCCTATAGTCCTAAAGAATGACTGAATGGGGATTTATTTTACTTTTGTCCTGATGGGTCATTTTACACTTGATAAACCAAGGGTCCCATGATGTAAGGACATGGCAAAAAAAGGAAAACTGTATCTGTGGCCAGTGTATGTAAAGTAGGAATGCATGGGTAAGTAGTGCAGGTGCAGGGAACACTATGAACAAAGGAAGTGACCAAAAAAATGTAGAGCATTTTCTACAAAAGCAATCCACTGTGCTGGCGGTACAGGATATATGTGAAAGCAGTGAAGGAAAGGCAGGTAGTGGAAAATTGAGAGCTGTCTGTAGGTGGCTAGGAAATTGTATTTTATTCTCTAGGCAATACTGAACCATTGAAGTTTTTCTACTTTGTGATAGTATTAGGAGGTTTGTATTTCAGAAAAGTCATTTCATATAAACTGGGTTAGTGGGTATGGACAATAAAGCATGGGTTACCAATTCCAGTGTCTACAGTAGCTGGATAAGATATGAAGTAATTAAAACACTTAGTGTAAGACATTGATTGGGGTATAGAGGGTGAATGTCCTGTCTCATGTCAGTTCTAGGTAAATTTTCCAACTCAGAACATGGGCTTAGTGCTGCCAGTTAATCTTATTTTTCTAAAAATCAATAGAAATCCAGATTTCTGTCTTTAAATTTTAAAATTTGGCAACTGGTACAGATTTTGAAAATAGATCATTGTGGATCAAACAAAACACATCTTGTTGGATTTTGCCTGTGGATTGCCAGTTTGTGAGCCCTGGACCAAAAATATTAAGATCAAATGTGAGACGATTAAAATTGTCTAGATGAGAGGTTACTGGAGTAGTAGTTAGAGGAATGGAAGGGAGGGGATAGATTGAAATAAATTCACGGAGAGTAACAAGTCTTACGGACTGATCAACATGGGGAAGAGAAAATGAAAGTGGATTTTGAGCCTCAGTAATGAGGCAAAGGTTAGGAGAAAGTGTTTTTGAGATGAGTGTAGTTTGCCATACATTGTGTGTGGAATATACTGGTACATGGAGATGACCAATAGGTAGTTGGACAGGCAGATCTGGAGATCACAAGAACTGCCTTGCTACACGAAGAGATTAGGAGTCATCTGTGTACAGATGGCATTCCTGGTTGTGGAGACACATAAAGTCTCACAGGAGAAAGTGTAGAATATGATGAGGGGTAGAGACTCAGCCTTGGAGAGCACAGGAGACAGGAGCCTTGCAGAGATAGAGCAATGTGCTTACTCTGTCTTAAGTGAAACCATAGGAAGAGAAGACTGTGAAATAAATTAGAGAGGATGTAGAAGGACCAGAGTTGTACAACATCTTGGAGGTCTCAGGAGGATAAATTTTTGAGGTAGGAAGTATTGAGCAATAATTGTAAATAATGCAGAGGACTCAAGGTACTTAGCGCCTGGAAATAGATCAACAGACTTGATAATCAGATGTTATTGATGACTTCATAGAAAAATAACAGGGACACAACAAATTACAATGACATAAATAATTTCTCTTGAGATATTTGAGAATTAAAAGAAACAAATGAAATCATTACTTGAAGGGAAATCGGGGTCAAACTCTTTTATAACTGAGTATGTAGTGTAGTTAAAGAAGAAGGAGAAAATGAAGAGGGAGAGATGGAGAATGCAAGATGTATTAGTGTCGGCCGCCGTAACAAAATGCAATCAACTGGGTGGCTCAAACAACATAGATTTATTTTCTCACTATTCTAGAGTCTGGGGAATCTAAGGTCAAGGTGCTAGTCCGTTCACTTTTTGGTAAGGACTGTTGCTCTGGCTTGGAGGCAGTCCCCTTCTCTCTGTGTCTTCATATTGCAGGGAGCGAGGGAGGGAGCTCTCTAGTATCTTCTCTGAAAAGGACACCAATCCCATTGTATCCAGGCCCTGCCCTTATGACTTCATTAATCTTAATTATGTCCTTAAAGGCCCTATTTAAAATACAGTCATATTGGGGGCTAGGGCTTCAACATATAAATTTTGGTGGGGGACACAATTCAGTCCGCAGCACAAGAGAAAGGGAAGATAATTGACAGCAGAATCCTAGAGGAGAGAGAAAAAAGGAGAGGATCGTGAATGTTGGTGAGGGGCATCAGCTCTCCTCCCTGTAGCAGAAAGGATGAGCTGTAGTGTAAGTACAGAAACAGCTAAGACAGGACAGATGTTCTGGGAGTCTGCATCCAATGGCCTTGATCTTCCTTGGCATGCCACACTCTCTACTTTCTTGGTCTGCTGTTACCCACATTTCAGGGTTACCTGGTAGTTACTTCATATGTTCTAGCCAGGGTTTTTAGTTGTAATCAGTGGATAAGATTGGATGGAATGTGCTTTCTTTCTCTCTCAAGTGAAACCAGGGTCCCTCTGTAACTTTCAATGAGTTATTCATTCTTCTCCACTAGATTGAATGATTATTGAGGGTAATACCTGAGAATAGTGTCCCTCCATGTATCATATCCAATTCAGGATCCACATCATATTTGGTATGTCATTTGTATTCAACAAAACACTCTTCTTTTACTCCTTTTAAATTATTTTTTTTCATTTTTGTTATTATTACAGGATCATTCCTGCCTTAAAGCTTTCTTACCCTTAACAGGAGGTATCCTCACATTTAGATTATACTTTGAGTCTCTTAATGGTTGATAAATATATTTTAGTTTTCATTTGGATTGCTGCTTTGTTTTGCAGTGCTGAAACATTTTGTTGGAGAAATGTCTTCAGAGTTAGAAAAGGAGAAAGAGAGGCTGGCTCAAGCCACCGAAATGTTCTTCTTTCACATGCAAGATCTTGCATCCTTCACAAACACACTTGTCGAATTGTTTAATAGCAGTATGAATGCTCAGATTGTCTCGATGGCTCTGACAGAAGATGTTAATACTAAGGATGTCTTTGAACAAATGTTCAGCATTTTTAAGGAGAGGCAATCTATAGTCAATGCAAGATAAGAGACAATGCAAAAGGAACTTTTATGCTCCCAGATTGCAATGGCTTTGTGCTCCAGGATCGAGAAGAGTGCCAAGGCAAAGGAGTTGCAAAAGTCAGCTAATGAAGGGTTCAGGGAGGTCCAGACACCACTCATTGTGTCTGTGCTGTATGATAGTAACATTCCTGAGAGTTTGGAATCTTCCCTTCTACTCTTGATGAAGTATGCTATCATGAATCTCCAATGAAGTGATTTATATAGAAAAGACACCAAAGACCAATCAGATGCTACCACATCTGAGAAAAGCTCAGGTCCAGGTCCATCCAAAATGCTACAGCTGACACCTTGAACAAGTTGCTGGATGCACTAAAAATTGAAAATGACAATAGTATTGTGTCAGCAGCAGAGCAGTTGGAGCAAATTGTTAAAAATATGGGACCAATCTTAGCCTCCAAAAAGCCATACAGAGTATGGAGATGAAGACTCCTATGTTAAAGAAAGCCAATGACTAGTAGGAATGCATCAATGACTAGTGAGAAGGGCTCATTTCTGTCAGAAAATAAATTCAAATTCATTGTACTTTCTCACCTCTTTGCTGCCAGACAAGTGGTCTATTGGGGCTGGTAAACCATTCAAGTTTTGCTTATCCAAATAAAAATAATAAAAGAAAGCCTGCTTGAAGTGGCAGATATTAAAAGGTTATATTGTTCCAAAAGTCAAGGTAATGTTATATTTGAGGATGTTTCTAAATATAGTATTTCATCTTGAAGTATAATTAAAATGACCCTAATTTCTACTCTTAGTAATTCTAT